GATGTGCAGCTATGACATACAACTATCCGCTGGGGCTTTGGGGGAAAAAATAAATAAATAAAATCTTAAAAAAAAAAAAAATAAATAAATTACATTAAAATCCCTTACACTTGTAAAAAACTTGACAGATCATCCTCAGATCATAGTTAAGAATCAGATTCTGATCCTCTACTCGAGGACCAATCAACTTTTCCCTGAACTATTTTGCCCTAGAATATTCATTTCTGAAAAAGGTGGGCTACATGGTATGGACCAATCCTCCCACTGAAAATAGCTAAAATGCCATGTAAATGACAAAAACCATCTTCTTAAAAGCATCAAAGAGCTGACAAGATAATAATAAATGACCACACCCCAAAACGAAGGGAGAGATCCTGCTTGGCCTCCACAGGGAACAGTGTCCTGAGAAATGGAAAAAAGGCTCTGTAAGTTCTTTGCCCAGACATGGAGCCCAGCACTTCCAGCTCTGTGCCCTGGGCTCTGGACTTTCCTACCCATCTGTTTCCCTTTTAAAAATTTAAACAGAGCTTTTTTATTCTGATTATGACGTATAGGTATAATGTATTATATACGATTTAATATATATTCACTGTAGAAAAATTATAAAATGTTAAAAGCTATAAGTGACAAAGTAAAAACAACTATAATCCTCACACTTGGAGATATTTTGTTGCATTTTCTCCTAGTCTATTTTATATCGTCTTGGTGCTGTTCTAGTGCTGGAACTCTCTCTCTACGTGGATGAGCACAGAGCTCAGTGGTCCCCCGCCCTGCTCTCTCCAGGTGCCATTTCCTGAGGCAGTTCACTCTCACTCCTCCTGAGGGGGCTATTTCTCACTTTCTCTTCTCTCAATCCCCTCCTCTCCTTCCTCACTCCCCGCTCTTAGGTGATGAACTTCTTTCTTTTTTCACTCAGGAAAAAAAGGACTCAGGTGAAAACTGCACCATCATCCCCCCACACCCCACATCTGTACCTGTATCTTCTGCTTTCACAGCAGTGCTGATGGATGGTCCTGCTCCTGTCTAAGTCCACCTTTCAGCTTGGGCACAGGATCAGGTCCCCTCCCTCCCCTGCATCATCAACTTCTCACTCTTTACTGGCTCAGTCATTCCTGGATATAAACATGCTATAATATCTCTCTTTAAAAAACAAAAACAAAACCAAATTAAACTGAATAAACCAAAACAAAATCCTCCCATAAAAAACCCACCAATCGATCCCACGTCTCCCTCCAATTACTGCTCCATTTCTATGACACTCTTTATAGGGCAATTCTTGAGTCCATTCTCTCACCTACCATGTTGTCTTTTTATTTTTATCAACTGAATATATGTACATATTTTAAAAAGTCCAATATTTCCACAAGGCTTGTTATGAAGATAGATGTCCCTCCCATTTCCTGAATCTTAGAGACAACTTGTTTTAATTCTTTCAGCAGATTCTCTAATTGTTACTTCTATGCTTCTAAATACCATGCTTATAATACTCCTTTGTTTTTCAGAGTTAGTGAATTGGCTCTTATTTCACACACACCCTCATCCTCCCAATATAATCACTTTACAATTTTGATGAGCTCAATGTGTATTGTCTGCATTATTATGACCATGTAAACGTTAGTCATAACTGAGAATTTAGTAGATACAATTATTTTTCCTTTCTTGAATCACCTTTTTATGTTCCCTGGAGTTAATAAATATCTTGCTTCTTCATTTGCATAGTTTCTGTTGTATTCATTACTAAACCATTCCACTACTCTGCCCAGAGTCTAAATGTTCATGAACTTATTTGAGCACATCAGTTATTCTACCAACTTCATCTTTATGAAGACACCTGTCCCACAGCTCTCAGTCCTGCTACACGTGAACTTGTTCCCTGCATACCTGGGGCAGGGCTGACATCCAGGACCTCCTTCACCTCATCCTGGGCAGCCCTCTGTCTCTCTCTTATTCTGGCTCCCTGTTGCCTGGATCCCATTTTTCCCATTTTTGGTTTCCTCCATCATTGTTCCCCACTTTGCCCAGTACTATCCTGAGGAAGGGAACATGGAAAGTAAAATATTCAAACTCTAAACATTTGAAATGTCTTTAGGCTGCCCCAGCCCTTATTCACATCTTGACTTGTTATGGAACTCTGTGTTGGAATATTTTTTCCTCAGAATTTGGAAGGCATTGCTGCAATGTCTTCTAGCCTCCAGGCCTGTGTTTGTTGCCTCTTGAAGTTTTCAAGGCTTCTTCTTTTTCACCCTCTTTCTGAAATTCCATTGTGATTTTCATGGTGTGGGTTTGTTTTCATCTACTGGAGTAAGAACTTGGTTAGGCTATTCAAAATGAAAATTTTTGTCTGTAAACTCTGAAAATTTTTCTTGTAATTTTTTTTATCATTTCCTGCTCTCCATTATTTCTGAAACTGGTATTATTTAATGTGTTGGAATCCCTTGATTGATAGACTAATATTCTTGTAGGTCTTCTCTCCTGCTTGTCATGACTTTTCATCTGTACTACTCAGTGATAGTGTGACTTTAATCTTCCAGTTCATCTACTGAATTATTCATTTTTATGATGATATTTTAATTCCAAGAGCTCTTTCTTGTTCCATGATTGTATATAATTGCATATAATTCTGTTTTTGTTTCATATGCCATGTATCTTTTACATCTATTAGATATTATTGACAGTAGTGGTGGGGACCTGTCAGGTCTCCTGTTTATCTGCTTTCATGTCATCACGAACTCTTTCCTCATAGCACTTGGCTCAGTAGTGCCTTCATTTATCTTTGTCATTTCTGCTAAATGTCCGTCTCCCTCAGGACAATGCAAGCTCCATATCACCAGGGTCTTATTCTTGCTTTTCACTGATCTCTAGATCTAGCTTATCTTGATCTACTAGAGGCCTCGAAATACACGCCGGATGATGGACTTTACTGCAGTTTGGGCAGCTAAGTCACACTGCCTCCTGATGTCCTCCTGAGCTCTGAGCCTAGTGGCCTCCTTTCCTAAAACATTCTGGAACATTGAAACAGTTCATTGGCATGGAGTGTAGAGTCATATCCACCACCTGATGACAGGGAACTAATAGAAGAAGAATCAACAAATCTCTGAAAGAAAACCCCAGAGTTGAAACTCAGCCCCACTCCCTCCTAAACCTCTCTGAGTCTCCCTTTCCCTGTCTGTACAAAGGGATCACATGTTGGGTGCCTCACGGGTTTGCTCTGAGGATTAAATTTGACCCTCTACGTAAATCATGGCATTATTGCTTGAGACATATTTCATGTTCCACTATTTATAGCTACCATCATTATACAGATTATAGCATTTAGATAAATTCTATTCTTTTGCTTTTATAAACCACAATTCAAGAAACATCCTTGAACAAATATTTTTGAGAACATGTGTGATTATCTTCTTAGGATAAATTCCTAAAAGAGAAATTTCTGCATCAAAATGTAAGCATACCTAAATTGTTGCGGTGTTTTGCAAAAGTGCCATTTAGAAGTATTATACTCCTTATCTGTACCTCAGATCTGAAAAAAGCCTAACACTTTATTAAAATTTAATCTAATCATTAACTATATTATTTTTTCTCTTAATTTTCATACTTCAGGATACAGATGAGCAAAAGACTCTGGGCTTTAGACAACTTTCTCTGAGTGATGAAGATAGTCAGCTTTGTGCTTGGCACACTTAAAAATAATTTTATACTACATAATCTTTTGGTAACATTAATATTTAGACCATGTCTGGGGAATCTAATATTCAATTACTAAATTAAGTGTCCTGTTTACTACTTACTTCATAACCTATAATACCGTGCGAGTAAATACAAATTGAGAAAGTTGGTAAGAAGAGGGAAAAAAAGAAATTTTGTATTCTAGTTTTCAATCCTATCAAGCTGTATGACAGTACATTTTCCCTACACTCCATGATGATATCCTCATCATTTACTTTCATCTTTTCCAAGCTGACAGATTTTAATTTTTATTCCCATTTATTATTCCACATTTTCATTTTTGTTCACATTTATTGCCAGTATATTTGTTTGATATTTGCATTTATTCTTTTCCAACTTGCTTTTAATACACTTAATTACTTTCTGATTGAGATGTGCATATGTAAAAATATTGAATTTAAGAAAGAAGAAAAGCAGCTCCTGCCATCCAGGAACTTGTCTGTCATAACTAGACCTCAGTGTTGTCAGAAGCTGGCCTGGTGCTCACCATTTGGCCATGTTGTTCTCTGTTGGACAAACCATCTTACAAAACATTCACATCAGACAAGGACACACTGAGACCATGACAAAGTGAGACAAAACAAGCCCACTACATCATTTTGTTTAAGCACAGACAAAAACAAGGCACCGTGCAACTCACAAAATACCAGCATCTTCCAGTGCTGGCTCACATAAGCGACCGCTGTTTCTTTCCAGTTACAGCTTTATCCTTGCTCTAGTCGGCCCTGTCTACAGACAAGATTTATTGAGATGCCCAATAGTAGAACTGCCCCCATTTCCTCACAACATCCAATCTAGAGTGAACCTCTGCCTCATAGAGCCTCACCCAAATCACCCAACCAAAGCCCAAATCCTGTAATACATTCTTTCTAACACTCTCATCCTAAAACTCCACACAGTTTCGCATGGTGCACATTCCCCTCTCTACAATGTGTTCAACCACAGGTGTGTTCCTGGTGGTCTTTGGCTCAAGCACATTGACACATGTTGCCCTTTTGTCTGTCAAATTTTTTTGTTTTTGAGTTTGATTATAAGCATATATTTCAATATTTGTGAGTTTGTTGTTGACAAAGAAATTTTATTTTTTCTTTATGGTTTTTCATCTTTCAGTCATGCTTAGAGAATCCTTCTTTACTCCACAATTGTAAAAGTTTCATGTATATTTTCATCTAGGTAGAGATGATGAGGAGAGAGAGGTCTGAGGGTGAAGGGAAACAGAATTCTTTTAACTTAGGGAAATGTGATGGGGAGTGGGGAGCAATAGCTAAAGAGTTCTAAGACAGTAGAATTCTAACGTTAAATCTTCTCCTTATATTTTGAAAATATGTCTACAGGGCCTATAACCCTGTCTTACCTTCATGTTGCACGAGGTGCAAATTCTTACCTGTCTATTGAAAATAAGAATCCGCATATAAATTTTTTTCAAATTCTTGCCATGAGGTGGGGTTGGTGGGTTAATTACAGGAAAGATTCTTAAAACTTGAGAGAGGAAATAAAACCTGAGAACCTTCCAAAACTCACATGTTTTGCTGTGCTGAGTCTGTTGCAGGTGGGGACAGGAGAAGGCTCTGAGTAGGCGAGTGTGGATGGGGCCTGTGTCCAGTCGGTGCTCATGGGCTTTGATATGGTCACTACTCTGCTGGGTCATCTCTCTGTTCCTTTGTCCTTGTCCCTTCAATAGGATCTTGTCCCACCAGGACCTGTGATCACAGGGACTTGGGTATCACCTGGGTCTTGTAGTGTCTCCAAAACCGTGGGCACCGGGGACTTCATATGGCCTGGTCAGCCTAGGCTCAGGCCTGGGTCTGGCCCTCAGCCTCCATCTTTTGTGTATTTATTTGCTGTTTGTTTGTTTCTCTAGGAAGTTGTGCCTATTCTTGTTCTTCTGTGTGAGTTCTGGTCTCATTCTCCTTTGGATGTCCTCATCTCTGACAGCAGCAGGAAGCATTTTGCCTGTCACTGTCCCCACACGGCCCAGGTGGCCTCTGCATGCAGGACACCCTGTGGTATTGAGAGATGTGTTTTCAGACTGTCCAGCTCCTGCCCTCCTTGTAGTGATGTTTCCTGAATGTTCTTTCCTTCTTTTCCCCAACCTTTTTAAGGAACCAGATTCCACTACTAACAGAGAGGAGAGATTTGATAGTTTATCATCTTGGATAAATTCCTGTTAGATTTCTAGCTTCTCTTCTCTCCTACCCATTTTCCCTGCCCTTAGCTCTAGTAATCCAAGTGCTGGCTCCAATCCAAACTCATGGATTTACAAAGCAGATTCTAATTTAGATTTATATTTGGTTGGAAAATAGGGCCCATAAGTCAAGCATCATTGTTTTCTGAAAAGAGAAATATAACACTGAGCTGTGGTGTGCAGGAGAGGAGGGAGGGGAGAGCAGCACTCCTGAGAAAAGTACAGGCGGCATTGATGGCAATGTGAGTGAATGTTGTGCTATTGCTGCCACAAAATAATGCTTGATCTGAGGCTGCATTAATAAAGATACTATCTCTAGAATAGGGAGGTGCTCTACAATGATGATTCATGCAACCAATATTTTTTGAGTACTGGCTACATGACACACTATTTTTGCATCTAGAATACATCAGTGAACTAAAAACTGGTGAAAACTGCTGGCCTTGTGGATCATATGTTCTAGAGGGAAGGGGCACACTATATACTGTAAGCTCAGTAAATAAGGGAAATGTTTATATTCGA